GATGAACTGGAACTAAATACAGGAGAAACAATCTGCACTTTTCTCGGCCGACACTTGCGTTGACTGACGTTGATAAGTGGAATTTCGTCAGTGTGTTCTGAGGAAATGCTGATTAGCTTATGTCATCTGTTGGTGTTTCAGAATGTTTAATGAAGGGAGTAGTCAGTTAAGTGTTATTGATTCCCAGTAAAGTGATGAGATGAATTCTAGAAGACGTTGTACCAAGGAAGTGGGTTCTAGCATCAGTACTTATAAACTGCTCTTTCAAATAAACTAAAGGTTTCTTGCCCTGAAAGTAAATCTGAAAAACATTTGGCAGACGTAATTATATATTTAGTTTGGTGTAAATCTAAAGCTTGTAGATTGTGTTAGGCATTAAAACAGAATCCGGGACTGCTAACCTACTCTAACGGGAGCCAGTTTTTCAGGGTTGGAAATCGCTACTTGGTGGTTGAGTCAACTGCATAGACCGCTTTATCGTTAATTTACTTAGGGAGCTCGTTTTAAAGAGTAATCAGTAGGATGCAACACATATTTGTGCTCTAGTCCTAATTGGTTTACTGGATGGTTGGAAGGCTTCTGCTTGAAATTTGATGTTGATGTCAATAATGACGATAATAATAATAATAATTTAATAAAGAGATAGGTACCAATATTCAACGGATGTAATACCGTTACACCATGCTTTTGTGTAAACTATTTAAGAGTGATTGTAGGCAGTGAAAATGTTGCATTTTGACAAAAGTTCGAGGATTGAAGTCCTGCAGTTTGTTGCCACAGCCTTCAAAATCTGATAATATCACGTCTAAGAAAAAATGTGACAACTGCTTAAGGCCTTATCCACGTGTATATCTGGTTTTCATGCCAATTTAACTGACGTGAATAGATTCAAAGACGAAAAGCCGATTCAGTGGCTAGTCCAAATAGATTATTTTGGGGAAATGAAATTAACTTTGTCGTAGAGCAAAGGGATTACCACAGTGTATAGTTTCACCCTTTGAAATCGACCCCTTAGTTCAGATAGTAAGGAATCAAATCTTGGCTAAGTGGGTGGAATCCTAAGTGTGTTGGACATAAAAGAAAATAGAGTAGCATTTAGCATGAAAGTATATTGGTTTAAGTTATCACACGTCACAGCAACACGAAGAAGAATTATATAGGAAGGAATGATATTTAATGAGGCAAAAGTGAGTGGAGAAGAGACAAAGGAATAAAGGCGGTTAAGATCCTCAGGATGTTAGAAGGGTAAGGGGTTAATACTTCTGCGTCATTGTGACCAATTTTAAGGTGTAACACCTGTAGTATCCTATTTTTGGCTCTTGAAGTCTCACGCATCTCAGCTGGACAGTTCACATCTCTACACATTGCTGAGATAGATATTCACAGACTTGAATGATGTAATGGAAACACTTCACGAGTGAGTACCATCCAGTAGCCCAGCAGCATGTAAGTGCGAAGTAGGTAGAAAAATAATCAAAGTGAAGTGGACAAAATTGTATTAGAAGAAATAAAAGGTTTGGCGAACTCTAATCATAAGCATGTCTGGTCTATAATCGATTACATAGACGCGTACCTGGTTGCTAGGTTTTATGCTACATCCCCACAGTAATTTAGCACTAATACCTTCTTTTTGCTCTCTTTAAGGTTTGTCATCTCCAAAACCACTGCAAGCAACCCCAGCAAGCATAGTCGAATCATATTTGAGTGAAACTAAGTACCGTTTACCAAGCTGTTAATGTTTGGGTCTGCATATAAGAACGGGTGCTATCAACTTTGGTTAACGTATTCAACGTATTCTTCCAAGAGATACCTACTACGAGGACTGATTCAATCAGGTTGACTTTGTCTTTCTGAATGAAGACAGAAAACTACTATGTAATGCTTATTAATGTGACCATTGTTTAGAGTAATGCCCTAATAATCTAGTGATTATGGTTTAGGTGTTAGAAACAGAACAATCAGTAAATAGATATCTTTTCAACAGATCTGTTTTAAAGCTGCACATATTTGCAAATCTCATGCATGTAGAGCTAGACTTCATGTTACCGAAACCAAAACCGAAGTGTACTCAACAGATCTATGCACATTCGTGCAATAAATGATGAGCCACATCTATTGTGTGAGGGCTTGTGGTACTACCTGGCTACCCAAACCCTCAGTAGATAGAGCTGTGTTCAAACCTGTGACCCACTGGTTGGAATTCAGCCCTTATTAGTAATGATCCACCTGTAAGGGTTTGAGCGAAAATAAAAGGGAACTTAAGTAGGTATGATACCATTTATAGTGTTTATAACCCATGAAACGTTTAACTCATTGTTTCTAGCACTCACTTTCTAGTCAACGAGTTGCTTTTCGAAACCGATAAACCTACAGATCTTTGAGTATCCAGATAACTTGATATCATTTATTCAAATTTAAATTTCTCGCTGAATCTTCAACTGTATTTTGTGAAAAGCATAAATTAAGGTGCACGTTGTACTCTGGAATCTGTGATTAGCAGTGTTATGATTACTTGGACTGTGTATTGTATTCGTAAGCATAAAAGCTAACTTTATCTACATTCAACAAGTGTTATATTGCTGAACAATAGCCTTTTGCAGACCAACGAGAACTAAACAACTTTCGTAAGAATTTGAGGGAAAAAAGTACGTGCTTTTGTGTAGCATTTAGACGCACCAGTAAAAATGACTTGCCAATTTATCACCCCGTTATGATTAGCCTAGGATGCTCTATATTAAATAGGCAATCATGCAGTGTAATTTACTCACTGAGGGCTTGGATGGTGCCGTTTTCCCTGCTTCTGCATCGAAGGATGTTGAGAAACTAGCTATTTCGTCGACAGGCATGCAGCTGGTCCAACTAGTTTGCTTACAGTTACACCAGATCAGATGTAAGCGAAGAATGACACGGGGTTGGGGAGAATAGGTTATGTTTCATTGGGTCCTGAATACTATTACTGGAAGCGTCCAGGCGGTTGATACACTTCCTGACTGCTCACACCGTCAAAGACTATTTCTTTCTCAAGATACCTGAAAGAGAAAATGATTTGCGTGACCACAGAGTCCATGAGATATCTGCTTGAGGCCTGTAACACAGCCGTTTCAGGATTGTTGGTGTGATATGTGATTGTTCTAATGCCAGGCAGAGATAACCCAAACCACCAGCACCGAAAAACCGTGAAGCAGCGAGGAATGTGCTATTTTCAGGACCAACGTTTCCTAAGCTGCCATTTTCATAGGGAAAGCAGCATTAGCGTGGTACTGTTGGTCATTCAAGGGAAACACCTTACTACCGTTACAATCTACCCAGCCAGCAGTACGACTCCACCCTCACACTTGCATTATAGTGTAGCAATCTACACCACAATGGCAACTGCTTTTCATCTTACCACTATCCAACAGACGTTTCTGGCATGGTAGGATCTCGAGGGAACAGGCGTTCCACCATCATACCTCATTAAGTCATTGTGATATGCAAGTCCGACCACCACCATACGATCGCGGCTCTCAGCCGCGTAAATCATATGACAGTTACGGTTATTCAACCTAGTTGATACTGGGTTATCTTCCGTATCCAGAATCTTATCCACAAATGGAATGTTTATTAACTTGATCAACATTGTAAACGAAAAATGTAGTGTGTTTAAACTCCAGTTTATGAGAAAGACTACATTTGTGCTTTGACTCTGCAAGAGTTTCAAATCATATTCGCAGCATATTGTACGCTCATGTCTGTATCTTGTTTTGAGAGCCGGTATCTTGAGTAGAATCATAGTGAGTTGTAGAAGCCTTTATCAGGACCATTCAGCCATAGTTAGATTAAGTTCTTGTTAAATTTGAGGTACCTGGTAGGTATCGAGTAAGCGGCATCACTAAATCAACCCTCATTTCTTTCAGCTGGTTGAATTTAAGATATGTGGAAGACAAAGAAAAAATATGTTTGATAAGTAACCTTCACATTGAGTATACTTCAAGTCGTCACTGGTTACCTTTTACAATAAAATAAACTGTCATACGTTTACCATCTTTTCATGAAAATATGGACATAGACAAAACAATCGTCTACAATAAATTCACCAGGTTGAAGTGCAATTTAGAATTGATTCTAAAGAAAATAAGTAGTGATAACGGTGCATGTACTAGGTTTGTTATGCTAGTTTTTAGAAAGTTATAGTGTAGTCCTTGATAATGTCTTTGTATAATATCTTTGAATATTTGCACTAACCGTTATCTTCAGACTGTTTGTTCTCACATACAACTTGGTCTACTTTGAAAATACTCTTTCTATCCATCCACCTATTCTTTGTATACTACTTTGAAATGTGGCTGCTTGAACCGATGCACCTGTGTGCGAAGTTCTCATCATCCATCCAAATCAACATAGGACCAGGCATTACTGTTCATATCAGCACATCAAGTAAAAAGGCAGTGAAGTGGAAGGTAAAGAAAGGAAAATCGAGTCAAAAGAGATATAAAGTATTCAGAGAGAGAGAGAGAGAAGAGAGAGAGAGAGAGAGAGAGAGAGGAATGAGAAAATGGTGAGATGTGGTATAGCGTTAAGATGAGGATAGTGTGTGTATACATCTGCACCACTGACGTCGGTTCTGAGCCATATCACCTAGAGTCTCCGACCCCTGTTTCCTCTTGTCCTGCGGACCCCAACCACCTAGTCTGCATCGCCCTACATGGCTCAAACCAACAGCCAAAGACTTCATACATTGATGCAATGTTTTAGTCTGGCCGCCTCGGACTTTTTTCCAGTCTGAACCTACTTCGACCAACGTTGTGTTGCGAGGCAGACGGCGAGGTTCTACGTTAATTTTTTTCAGTCAGTCAGTGTCTCTGCACCCATTTTACTACGGTCTCTGCTAATTTCGAATCAAGATGTAAAGTTTATCAAGCTTTACATAGAAGTTACGTTTTGCAACAATTAACACAGTATATGCTTCTTTGATCAACCGAAACCGGTTTTATCGTTGTGATATTGTACTCTGGGATTGAATGATCAAGTTGTCGATGTGCATCTTCTATGATCATCAGTCAATAAATTCAAATAATTTGTATTATTTTTATCATGAATGGTGTTTCATTGCTCCATGTTTTACAAGTATTTTTCCCTTGATACTTACTCAGAAAAGGTAATCCCAGTTTATTTTCTAGATTGTTATTTTATACTACGCATTCAATCAACTGTCTATGTATGCTTTTTGCTTCCTTCCTTCAAAGGATCATAGATGATTTATCCTTGTTGTTTCACCTTCCTTGTGGTTGCGATTTACTTTACCGCTTTCCTGATCAAAAGAGTCTCAAATGTTGTTTGACATCTTACCCGATCATTCTAAATCCTGGTGATCATAGCCAGGATCCAACTTTGCTGACATCATGTGAATCTATTCCTGCGTGGATTGAAGTTAAATTGAAGCACCGTATATCTGCATCATTTTGGTTCTTCGTCACAGTAACTTGGATATTATTTTGGGTTTTTGGTTACGTTACACAAGTAAGTTCCTTTTTGTTACACACGCTTTTTGCTTTTCAATTATAAAATAATATAAAACACTAAATAAATACCCACTCAACCACCTTTTGCACGTCCATACAGTAGGCGATAAGCCGCATCTATTGTGTGAGGGCTAGTGACTATCTGGCAGCCCTAACCTCGGTATGTGAAGCGGGGTTTGAAACCGTGACCCAATGGTTGTTAGTCATTTCCACAAACTTCTGAGCCACAGCTCGATGCTCCATCGTGTAGATGTAAGGTTTACAAAAAAGGTTTAAGTCCATTTCATTTTGCTTGTCAGATGTATCTTATAGTATCATTATTCCTCTACTGTATACTTTATCTAATCGACAAACTAAAGTGGAATTACACTGCCACAATGCTCAAATCTTACTCTTATACTAAAAGGTATAACTCAGTTATTGGAAATTTGCATTGCCAACCATTTCAAGTGACAGACCATTTTTCACTACAATCAGTTTTCTGCGAATCATGAATGACTGAAGTTTTTTAGTCATATAAAAAAATGCTTACTGAGAATCATTGGATCCGTCAAAAATTGATATTTCATGGTGCGATGCGGTATTTTACAGTAACTTTATAGATTATACGGAAAATGTTCACCTCTTATCGATCACATTTCGTTATCAGAATGATAAGTCAAGTTTTTTTTTTGAGATTAAAATGATTAGTAATCATATGTGTGTCTATTGTAGCACTTTATACACAACTGAGGAATTGCTTACATTATAGTTTGCTTTTGTTAAAATATTTACTGTTGGCTCTTTTGAGTGACATGACATACATTTATACCTTTTTCTTCTTTATAGTCCTACCTCATCCAACTGACTTTGTTCTTTTTCTTTGTTGTCTGCATGTATGTGCATTTACGCAACACTGTTACTGAAGGTAGGTAGTATCAATGACCAGCTGTACGCTTTTTTATTGTTTTTTTCTCTGTTTTACTTAATTTTTAGTACATTATTACGAGATGGGTTGCAATTCGGCGATGGTGAGCAGGTTTTTGTACTAGAATATAAACCACGTTTATCAGACGCCGGCTTATGATGCTCTCTGATTGTTCAGATTTCGGTAGATAGAGTGACTTTCGTGTCTATCACGTATTGATTGAAAGTTGAGTGGCCAAGTCAATGTGTTCCACATTTTCACCATTTTAACACACTAAACTACACTTCACCGACTTTTCTACTTTTGGAAAAGTTGCTGCTACCTTGTGGTCGGACTTGCATATCACAATGACCCAATGAGGTATGATAGTGGAACGCCTGTCCCTCGAGATCCTACCATGCCAGAAACGTCTGTTGGATAGTGGTAAGATGAAAAGCAGTTGCCATTGTGGTGTAGATTGCTACACTATAATGCAAGTGTGAGGGTGGAGTCGTACTGCTGGCTGGGTAGATTGTAACGGTAGTAAGGTGTTTCCCTTGAATGACCAACAGTACCACGCTAATGCTGCTTTCCCTATGAAAATGGCAGCTTAGGAAACGTTGGTCCTGAAAATAGCACATTCCTCGCTGCTTCACGGTTTTTCGGTGCTGGTGGTTTGGGTTATCTCTGCCTGGCATTAGAACAATCACATATCACACCAACAATCCTGAAACGGCTGTGTTACAGGCCTCAAGCAGATATCTCATGGACTCTGTGGTCACGCAAATCATTTTCTCTTTCAGGTATCTTGAGAAAGAAATAGTCTTTGACGGTGTGAGCAGTCAGGAAGTGTATCAACCGCCTGGACGCTTCCAGTAATAGTATTCAGGACCCAATGAAACATAACCTATCCTCCTCAACTCTGTCTTTTCCTTTGCCCTCACCTTTCGATACTAATCATAAGCCCGACCTCGCATTCTCTAAGCACTGCAAAAGATGAAAGCCATGGAAACCTCATTATTGGTCTCGTAACAGCCCGCAATTGATTTAATGTGAAAGCTGTCAACGCCCGAACTTTGTGCCGAATCGGACACCTGGCATCCATCGCCAGAACCGTGAGATCTCTAGCCATGGATGTAATTTTGTCTCTGAGACACGTAAACAGGACCCGAGTGCGGTTATTAAATTGACATTACGTGACCAGTGCGGTACTTCATCATAATTCACCTTACGAGTATCTGGAAACCCAGTGACTATCTCTCGTGAACTCGCTGGTATATGCATACTATTGAGATGTATGGCAGAAAGTGCGCTTCTCGACTGGATGTCCGTCATCAGCCATCTGTGTGCTGTTCGACTGAATGATCTATAAGAACCAGGAAGGATCAACCGATGCCTAATCTCAATCTCTATCTACGCACCTACCGACTTGTAGTTAGGTGATGCAAAGGATGAATTCCATAAAAAGCTGTCAACTTTGCTTCAGAAAGCTTAACGTTTACATGTAGTCACAATCGCTGATGACTTTAACGCTCAAGCAGGGAAGCTGAACCAATAGGAAAGGGATCTTGAGGGTAATTTTGGAATCTAGTGCCAATTGTGATCGTCTTTTGTAATTTTGTTTCTGGCTAGCACTAACTTTAGGCATAAGGAGAGACATTGTCTCACGTAGCGTCCGCCGACATCAAACTAAAGATGGACACAGATAGATCACATTTTATGAACTATCGTTGGAGAGATGAGTGGAGGGTTGCTGCTGTTTCTGGAGTATCAGTTTGGACTCAGCTCACGTGCTAGTACGTGGTCGTGAATATCTGCACCTTACTAGCCACAGGAAAAAGGAGTCAGTGAGGCCCATCTGCACTCGATTTGTAGATGAGGACGCAAAGTACGCATTTAGAGAGGGGTTAGCTAAGTATTTATTTGACCGTAACACTGATGTTCAGCCAAAGGAAACTTGGCGTTATGTTGTGCGCTGTAGACAATTGATAACCTACACCCGAAGGTTAGCAAACGTCATTGTATTTCCACGAAGTCATCCGAACTGGTTGATGCGAGAATACTGATTCCATCTGGTTTTGACCACGGTGAAGCGCGAAAGAGACTTTTCGTCAACCGCGAGCAGTGGTGGTTGGCCTAGGCGAGAGACATCGAGAAGGCAACAACGCTGGGTTACACTCAACAACTGTTTAGACTCATTAAGCATACTGACAAGACGAGGACGATGGTGAGTGAAACCATCACCGAAAAGGAACGTTTGCTTATGGCATCTTAGGGCGTACCAGTAGAACGTTGGGCAGAATACTGAAGCACAGTTGAACTGACCAACAACAATGCTTTATTTGCCCAACATCCAGCCTGAACCTGAGTAGAACGTAGATGTCGGTCCACCAACTCCCTTTGAAGTTGAGAAAGCTGTATGGAACCTAAAACGATTCAAAGGGGCAGAACCTGACAGTTTTCAAGAGTTGATGCAGGGAATTGATAATTAAAGTGGCGGAAGCACTAGGTAGTGCTGTCAGACTACTTTACTTCTCTGATCATCCTAGTTTATATGAAGGGAGATAAGTCTTCCTGTGTTAATAGTAGGGGTTTAGTTTAAGTATTATGATATGCAAGATCTTGGAATCCATAATTATCCGATGCATAACTAGCACTCAAGAACAGCAAACTTGAGGAAATCAGGCTGGTTTCAAACCTGAATGAGGGTGCATCGATTACATTTTACTCTCCGTCAGGTTCTGGAACACAGGTATACCTCCCAGCCAGTGGCCAATAGTTATCATATTTATTGACCTAATGACGGCATTTGACTCTGTCGACCGCGACGTGTTGTGACAGTGTCTGACGGTGAAATGAATTCCGAGCAGGTATACAACGCCAACTAAAGCTCTCTACTCAAACTCACGAAGCCGTGTAAGAGCTTTTGGAGAATTGTCATCAGAACTGATGACAATTAGTGGTGTCCACTACTGACTACCTCTGTCATCGTTGCTATTTAACTCCGTCATAGACGTCCTGATGGACATACGACTGATATTATAGGAACTGACCTACTCCCTGAAGTCATGCGGTTGACTTTTAGTATGCAGTCGATATTGTCCTGCTGGGTGAAGAGACTGACAAAATGCAAGATCTTCTGAACGCGTTGAGCAAAAATCTGAATATGTTTGGTATGCGTTTCGTTGGCACCTGTGAAATGTAAGACGATGTTTCAGGACTGGTCTGCTGCAAGTTATCCCAGTTAAGTGGTGGGAAGTAAAGCAATGGAATATGTCGATCAATTGTCTTACTTAGGGAGCTACAGCGACCCGAACGGACTGGATGTTGTGTACGAGGTTCTTGGTTGATTTTGTCAGTCAGTCAGTCAGTCAGCTTATTTCTTTTCATAACTCATGTGATGAGCTGAACGGGACCATATGCAACTTGACTTAAAAATTTAACTCTTCAAGGTGTAGTATTTTGACAAAGTGTGCCAAGAAAACAGGTAATAACAGCTGAAGAACTGAAATCGCTTGTAGAAATGTCACGGTGGAATTCGATTTAAGACTGCTTTTCAAATGATAATGCATGAAACACTAGTATATTCGCTCGTAGTAGGTCGCAGTTACAGCGTAGATTTAGCTCACTTTTGATGTGATCGTAATGTTTGGCGGTAAAAAGGACTTAGTATGTATTGATTCAATGAGCAGTGAAACTGTTGCTTACCGGTTTAGGCCTCTAGCTATCATACATTGTATCATGCTTATTAACACTACTCTACTTCTACCTGATCAGATAGGTATTATAATTTACCCGTAACCATTCAGTGCGGTTCACAGCGCAGTACCTAGATATTTTCTTGTTTTTACAAAATTCCACCATTTATCCCCCTCTTTATTAATCCTTGGAAATTTCATCATTCTGTTCAAGTTGAGCATAATTCACTTTGAGTCCAGTGTTTTGAAAATTATACGTCTAGCGTTTGGTAGAATCATGAGATGAGGAACTATACTTTGCATGTATTTTTTAACACTTTACATTAAAAATGTTAAATGCAATAAGAAGTTGGTTGGAAAGAAGGCTCTCATTGTTGATTTAAGTCTGTTGTATTAACAGATGTTGTGCAGATGAAGTTTCCCATGTGGCGAAAATATTTGCATAAAGATGGTTAACATTGAGATGGGAAGTCCCCCCTATAATGGTGGGATGTTTGCCACTAACTAACCATGCATATGTTTGCTCATTAAATTATGGACTGCACTCTTATCATGTGACAGCTATCTGCACAAACTAAAATGACGGAGTACGATTTGGACTAGTAACTTTAAAAATGCGTGTATCGTCAATGTATGCATCTTGTCGAGTTTTGAAGCTTCGGCTTCGTCTAGACTGATGTACGGTAAGATGATAGAGATAACTTTCTTCAAACTGCATATTTAATAAAACCTCTCTTGTACGAATTGTTATAATTGCAGAGTGGTAGGTAATGTTATGAATTACGTACTTGTTCGCCTACACATTATGGGCTACACTGTATCAAAGCATTCGTAGTAATTCTTTGGTCGACATCGTTAGTCTTCCTGTTTAACCACAGAGGATGTTCTTTGCATAACCTGAAAGAATATATCTGACGGTAATCTACCTCTTGTTACTCACCGAAAGACTGAATTTCAATAGGAGAAAGATATCATACATTAAAACTCACATTGCACGGACGTTAAGTATTCACTTAGGGAATTACTGTCCGAAAGTATTTTAGGACTATCCAAGTACAAAGTAAGTAATTAAACAAAGCAATGTCGCACAAACTCGATGATCTAAAGGCGAAAACCAACAAGTTGGTGGAAGAGGCAGGGTAGCGAAGACGGAACTTCAAGTGAACGTAGAGAAGACAGAGGTGATGAAGATACCCAACCAACAGCAGCATCAACAACAAGTACCAGTCACCATGAACGGGAGAAATCTAAAGGAAGTAGTCTCTTTCACCTACCTACCTAGGCAGCATCGTTCCAACTACAGACGGTGGCACAGATGAGGATGTTAAAGCCAGGATCATAAAGACAGCAGGACAAGTCTTCCTTCATTAATCTGAAATCAGTGTGGAGATCTACTGCACTCAGCAAAAAGTGTGAAAAGCATCCGAATTTTCAACACCAACGTGAAGTCAGTGCTGGTATATAGTTGAGAAACTTGTCGTGTTATGAAAAGTATTTCCAACAGACTACAGACATACATCATCAACAGCTGCGGCCTACTGTCACACGATACTGGAGGATGGAGATCAGATGGCCAGAATGATAGGAATAAGGAACAAGGAACTCTGGCTGGCTGGCTGGCTGGTGCTGGCGGGGGCTGGCTGCTGACTGGCTGGTAACGAACCAATCAACCAAGAACCAATTGCCCAACAAATATGTGGAAGGAAGTGGAGATGGATTGTATTGTGTATACACTGAGAAGACCATTTGGGGACATCACGTGCCAGTCGAAGCCCTCAAGTGGAATGGGAAGGGTGAACGTCGAGTTGTTGGTGCCAGGCGAGGGTGATATGGAGGAGATTGTGTGAAGAAGAAACGAAAGCTTGTGGGTAGTGGTAGAGCTAGGTTGAAAAGATTGCAGAGAAGATCGTGAAATGGCGACGTGCTATTAATAAATAATAATAATAAGCTTCTCAGGTTCGGTTAATATGTAAATAGTTTTAAGTTGTATAAACCTTTGCGTACCTGGTTGGTTTTCGGAGATATGAAGGAAGTAGGTGCAGCGTTTGTTAACAGTTATAATTTTCCAAAGGGCAGTGCTCTCATGAAGTCCATTAATTAGTATAAAATCGGATGTATTTATGTGCACCATGCTTAGCTTTATGTTATATTTGCAAGACTTGTTGTCTTTGAGTTCAAGATTCTGAACAGTTCTGTCGCGCTTTCTCCCTAATCACTAGAGATGTTTGTATTGGTGGTCATTTTATGGCATGTATGTATAAGGGGTAAGGAATGGTTGCGTTCAATTATCATCTATAAATTAGTCTTAACTTTTTGATAGAGATCTCAAAGACCATGCAGTTCACTGAATGCATTTGTTATTAGGTACTGTTGAAAACTGAAGTAATCAGAAATTATGCTTTCGTTTTTTTACTCTTCTATCAACCAACATGAATAGAAATCATTGAGAGCTTGTTGCATTAGTGTGCATTATTATTATTTTATTATTAGTCCCCTGGGTTCCTAATGGAACATAGGGCTTCACTAGCACGTCTCCAGTCCACTCCGCTCTCTGAAATCTTTTGAACCTGGCTCCACGACAGCCCACAACCTCTCATTTCTTCCTCACACTATCTCCTCCATGTCACCCTCAGCTGGGACACCCAACTCGTCGTTTCTCATCTGGATTCCACTCGAGTACCTGGCCTGACGCGTGATGTCCTCAGTCGGTCTTCTCAGTGTATGCCCACTCCAATCCATCTCCACTTCCTTCCAGTGCATATTTGTTGGGTGATAGATAGGTTCTTGTTAGGTTCGTTGACAGCCAGAGCTCCTTGTTGCTTATTCTTGTTATCCCGGCCATCTGATCTTCAGTAGCGAGCGTAAGCAGTTGTGTGTGTAGTGTGCATAGCTGCTAAATATTCTTGTCCTGCAGCATTATATTCCAAATACTACACGAATTTGTGCTTTTTTATATTTTGACTGGATGATTTCCAACAATAATCTAGTCGATGTCACAATTGAGCTATCGAAATACTAATGGTCGATAAGAAATATCTATGCCAAACTGTGTAATTTGTTGCTCATCATATATTTAATGGTGTACTACCCCATCCTAGTAAGTGAACTTGATTCCGTTTATCTGAATTTAACCGAGGAGAGTGCTGATTAGCGTAATATCAAACAAATGAGACAACTATCCAGTATTGAGATTACTCTGATCTGATTATCAAAGTCCTCAGATCAATATGATTTTAGTCAATGAGAGGGGGGGGGATGATTGATACAATACAATTGTTTGCGTAACTGCATATTCTGTTAATTGAACGCAACTGTTGCGATTGTGATGAATTCTTTAAGTTGTTGTTAAATAAACGCCTAATCAGCATAGTATATTTGCTTATTTTACAGAATCTCTCCTAGTTATATGTGGATATGGTTTACAAACTTCAACTTGCTATTTTACTGGTCGAAAAACATATTCGTCTTTTATCCCTATGAATAGAATTAAAGGTTTTCATCTCATTGATTCAGTCAGTCCATTCACTATACATACCTATTTAGGTTGTGAGTGTATAAAACCAATCACTGCTGCACAGACTATATCCTTCTCTTCCTCCTCTCAGAGTCGTCGTCGTCGCCTACTGATACAACGCAGACAGTAAAAACTCTATTGACAGATTATGAGATTCTACCGTTAATGCCCATAACTATGAATAGTCGAAGGATTCAATTTATAGGGTGTGATTATATTCCCTTGCCTCATCTTGTATGGATGTTGCGTATAGTACATATGACTTTATTTCAATAATATTCGCTCGATGATTATTTACGTATTTATTTATTCATTTTTCTGTTCAATCTGTACACTTTGTAAATATGTATTAAAAAGTCAGAGAACAAGAAGATGAGGAAGATATTTGATGCATCTTGTCTTTTTTTATCACTCAATGCAGTCTGTATGGCATATTGTTACCAGGAGTTGTTTGACACTAAAGTCAGTTGATTACTATATCGTCTAGCCTTGATAATGTTAAAGTTTTCTGATACCTATCAAGGCATTTTATTAGTTTCCTTTTTGTATGCAACAATTTTCAGAGTTTAACAAAATAGCTTTCCATCTGATGTATTTGTTACGATGTTATTATTATTCCTATTTTGAACTTTTTAAGTAGTGAGAAATATCAGCTTCTGATCCATTACATTCAGACGTACTAGACAGTAGTGGTTCTGAAATGATGGAAAAGATTTGTAGCTCATAAAGTTAGTGCTGATGATGTAGCCACACCTGGTGATGAAACGTCCATGATAGAGTAACAAAGCTCAAGAAACACGGAATCACCATCCGAATAGTGGTTCATAATCACCAGTTAAATGATGCATAAGTCAGTTTAAGTGTCAGTGATTCATATTTCAGTCTGTTTCGTCTTGATTGATTATTGTTCCAGTTTATGAGGAAAAGGATTATCATCTAGTAACTATGGCGAGTTTAATTTGTCAAACTTACTTATCTGTTTTTATCTGATAATAAAAGTAGTGATCCTGATTGATGATTGAAGGTGAGATGGAAATCTGGACCACGGCCGGATTCGTACTAGCAACCGCTGGGTTTCCAGCCCGGTACTCTACCAACTGAGCTATGAGACCTGACTATTGATCCGAAAACCCAAAAGTCACTGACTCGAATCATGCAGTTGCCCAGATTTTCACTTGACCATCAGTCATCCAGTATCAATACTAGTCTTCCAAATCACGACTATCCCGGGTAGTCAAACTTATAATAATCGCTTTTTCTTGGACAGTTTTTCATGTTGTTCGGAATTCGTAGCATGTAATATTGCAGCCGAAATTGTCTGCAACATTTTTAATAGTACTAATTATAATGGTTAAATCATGCAACTAGCATTAGCAATGAAGCAGGTGATCTGACCAACTAAGAGCTCGCAGCTAATAGTCGTATTTAGGTGTGTTAGTGTTAACAAGACATGTGGCGCTTAGCGGAAATCTGGAGATGTTATGTACACGGATTGCCATATATTGATTGGTGTGGAAGCGGAATTAAAAAGAATTCAAGCTGACCGGAATAATGCTCGGCAGTAACTGATGAGGTTTTTCTTGCTATTGATCTGTGCAATGTAATGAATAACAAACTATGTAGAAAATGCAGACCGGCCATTCCACGTTGAGGAGTATATTACTCAAAACCAAATATAGTAACTGAAACGCATCAGCGTTTGTATTATACCCTGAGTCGTAAACATTTTATAATTCTAGACTTACTAAATTTCATTCCATTCACATCTATCTTCCAGTTCTCTTGATTTCCCATGTTGTTCTTTGAATTGTAGCAATTTGAACACATGTAGCCTAGTACAAGCTTCTACAATACTCAAAAGAAAAAATACTCTACAGTCCTCAAAAGAAAATTCCTGTGGATAACATCAGTCTTAAAAGCTTCAAAACATGTATTATCATGTTGAATAGGCATCTGATCGATCTAGTAACAGTGTTTAGAATTATTTACACTATCTGATGTACATAATTAGAACATGATATGGTGGTATGTCAAGCTGATTTTGTTATGCTTTATATTATGAAGGCATTCCTTAAGGAAGTCGACATGGTATCTCTTAGTATTAAGGTGATTCTATAAGAAATTAAAGAAAAATGATGAAAACGTCTGTAGAGACTAAAGTAAATCAAAATTAAAACTTGTACGGAATCATTTATCATCTATTCTATCGTACTCATTGTTGTAATGAGTAGTATATTCTAGATGTATGCATATATCTGTTAATGTAGTGTAATTTACAATTGTATGAAATATATATAAATATGGTATAGTGAACAGTATTAATCGACTGGACAATTTCTTTTCCACATGTATTCATGAACAAAGGAATACACAGATGTGTACAGTAATGAAAAACTTACTAGGATTACAGATAGATATTACTACAGCAGAATGATTCGGTGATTAGTATTATTAACTGAAGCATGTAAAAGTATCTGAATGTAGGTGGTTATAATTCTGTGGTACACATGATGGATGGAATTAGTACTCACTTTCTATGTGTCCCAATGTATTTTCATTTTTATATACAATTTGGAATTGTGTGATTAAAAAGAAAAGGTTGTATGAATAAAGCTTAGATGATGATACGATAACAAAGTGGATAGATTTCAAAGAAACAACATTAAATAATCTGCATCAATTTGTTTATTTTGTGTGGTGTTTATGATATAAAGAAGGAAGTCACTAAGACGGTGAGTTAAAATGGAGATAAATATCTTAATGTGACTATGTAGACGTCTTCGATTTGCGTTATGAAAACATGAATAGGAAAATTTGTTAGGATAGAAATAGAGATATCTTGAAGCCAGCATTTCTTCATCAACAGAAATATGCACCTCATATATTTGGTAGGTGGATTCCATTCGAATTTAAATGAAGAGAGCCTTGTGCTACATTTGTATTGCTAGATATCTGTCCATTATCTGTATTCGGTGGTTATTAGTAGTATTGTTGTTACTATTTTCAGGATTAGGAAGGTGGGCAAATGAATTGTTAGCAATACCTGTAGACATACCAGTAATCTGATTCGATCTGTTATATTTCCAGCCTGCATTTGATTTTTGATTGCTTGTTATCATTAGAGATTGAGGGTTATTTATTGTCGTGGATACTGGTGTTGCTTGAATATGTTGGTTCGTTGGAAGTGCAGGTAATCCCGTTTGTGATGGCTAAAAAATATAACGAAAGAAAAAAATCCAGATTTAATTTAGTTTGTGCGGTGAAAATACAGATTGATTAGTTTTTAAAGAAAATAGTTCCCATCACGGATCGAAATCATGTGAAGAAGCACTGAAAATCATCAAGCATTGTGCAGACGTGTTTTATCCTAGTCAGTTATTCATGGACAGTGTAAAAGGTCCAGTCCAATGCCGTTAGGTTTCGATGTGATCAGTGCGTAACTTACTTGAAAGTAGGAAACAATGATGGAAGGGGTGCGATTTTGATGGTATTTGACAGGATGGGATTTGGGAAATATTCGTTTTCCCTTTGAATGTTTTCGAATCGAATTTGGCATTAGTTAGGTATGTGTCAAAATTAGAGGTTTGTTTTGTTAAATTGGATTTTAACAAGCTGTTTAAATAGTATAGTCGTAAGTGAATAGTATGAACATAATCTTATCTGAATGCCAAGGTTACATGATTCCTTTTTTTGCTTTTCCTAGTGTAAAGCGACATAGTATACGGAAATTTGTTTTCACAGTCAAGGCTATTATTAAGGCGACCTGCCTAAATCTTGGCTACCAAAAAACGTTCCACCGATTATATTCCATTAGATTCTTCTTTTTTTAGTTTGTTTTCATCGTCTAAATGTCTTCTAAACGCATCATGTACTCTCGCACGTTTTTAAAATGCTTTCGTTTCTCACCTAAGAATAAAACAAAGGTAAAACGTCCTGCTGGTTGGAAATGGATTTGTAAATGCTCAAAATAATGCACACTATTATTTCTAGGATACCTATATGAGATTATGAATTCCTATGCTGGCTGACTGAAGTGCCACCATCAAAATTATGCTCGATTTTGTGTTAATTTCCGAATCTAGAACAGATTCTAATGTAACACTAACTGACAGTTTCACACTTATGCCGTCAACACTAATATTATTAACACTATGCAGACGTAATAATTATTGTACGGAAAGCGAATTTGTTGAAATATTCTATGCTGTATCATACATGCTTGGAACAAGGCGATTATTATTACTATATCCACTGACATACTGCGAAATTAATGTCTGAATAATAAAGCGTTTATTTAAGTACTTTCTGGTTTCACTCCTTTTTGATTACCAAACGAAATGATGGTTTCTGGAGTTCTACCCGTTAATTCCGTAAATAATAGTTAACTTAGTTTTCATTGACTGCAAGATTCCTTGAGTTGTTTCACTGTGCCAAATACAAAATTGTGTAGCCTCTTAGAAGTTTAGCAGATTTGAAGTTTCCCCCTATTCAGAGGGAAGTGACAGTGCGTCATTGTGTTTCACGATATTTGTACAAACACTTTTGAAGCGGATGATCATTTAGCCCAGTGTGAAAGTGTCCATAGACCGTATATTTCATTGTTTAAATGATACTGATCATCTCTTGATTCTTAACCTTTTGATTCGTATAACACAGTAAATGTTGGAAACTATAAATTTGTTCGGAAACTATCAGAAAACTGACATTCAGATTAAACGATGATCAACAAATGAGATAAGTTGTTTTTGTATGAGCTAGTAAGAAAGGTCATGAACAAGTGGTAGTCAATGGCAGGAGAATTCGCTTTCATCTCAAAACGTTAATGATCTCTCTGCTAGTCAAGTGAATAGTAAGAATAATCAACCTGTTTCAAGACTGCTAGAATACGAAATCAAGGAACTTGTGGAGAGCTTGTCACCACTTCCCTATGCAACTTACTCTGAGGATACAGTTTACTAAATCATGTAACTCAAAACAATGCAAATTTTCAACACAACCTCACCTCTGATTTTGGTACGCATACGGAGTTTAGTTAGGCAATATACACAACGTAAACCAACAACTAAAGGTTTCATAGAGTAATGCCACCTAACAAATTGCTTAGTTAGAAACCACTCAAGCTGGTGTGTAGATTTTCACAGGTAGCCAGACCAGTGTGATCTAAACATCGAACGGTTTATAACTACTCAGGTTGTTCTGTTGCAGTATATTTTGCTAGTTCATGACACTTTTGTGTCAGAGATCACACTTTGAGGTCCTGGTCGAGTGATTTTCCGTGGAAACATTGCCAACACCACAGTTAGGCAGTTGAAAAATTACTCATCTGTGAGAAATTTCAATTTATAAATGAATTACAAATTGTTCATAGAATGTTGCCATTTTGTAGTTTATCCAACGTGCAATTATGTGCTCAAATAAGCAATCGTTAGATCTGCATAACCTATCACCCGACTATGTCAGTCAATAGAAGTTCTCAACGTCATCAAATGACGCATCTCATTCATATATTTCTCTACAGCTAACCTGATTCCTCAACAAAGAGACCATACACAGTGGGGACAATTACCAAAATCCTTTTTTGTATATTCATAGGATGTGATCAAAAGTTCTGTAGGTTATTATACTTACATTATATAAACCTTGACCTACAATACCAGGTACAAACCAATTTGTTCGACCAACATTTAAACTTGGAGTAATACTAGTTGAAGCGAAACATGTAGGTGAAGTTGCATGTGATTCGTTGACTGGTGTTCCAGTTGTCTGATTTCGATCATTTATTTGTTGTTGTGAATGATAACATGATTGCTGATTTTGTTGTTGATATTTACGTCTTGGTACTATTGTACCTGTTATTATCTGATTAACCATTATTGACTTAGCATTTGGTTTTTGTATAAAACTATGTTCAGGTTTTTTCTTCATTCCATGACAGTATCCATCTCCACCAGCACCAGGTATTTGTTTCAATTCACCATGAGAGTATTGTGGTTGTCTACCGTGCATTTCCATATATGGGTGTTTAATTAACGCCTCACTATTGAGTCTTTCTGTAGGATCCATACTTAAACAGCTCTAAATTAAAGTAAAACGGAAAAAAGGTAACAATATTTAAGAAATTACAATAAACAGTGATAGTTATGGATTATTTCATCTAGAAACTCAATTTTTGTCTATGAAGTCAATTACAGTAACATTTCATGTCGAAAACATAACAATCTGATTCTAAATACTAATTCAATAATCGATAACTGTCAGTTTCAATCAGTCCATTTTATAGTATGACATAGAACACAGAATGAAAGCATCTTGTTGATTTGTTTCAACTTAATTACTAAAGATAAAATATTGACAAAAAAAGAGATTTATGCTTGTGTCAATAGATGTTAAATCCTTATAGATTGATTGTTTAAGTTCCTTGTAGTGTTCAGAGTTACTAGTTTGAAATTTTCATTGACATTTGGCTTAAACTAAATCATGAAGATACATAATGTATGCATTCTTTATTGTCATTGAAATTTTGAACATATTCATGAGTCTTTATTTATTTTTGGGGGGTGAGGACTGACTTGCTCGTGCTTACTTTAGTAGTATTTTATTTCTTTCTGTTTTCTCCTATTGTATATGTACTTTATTATAAAGTGTAATGAGTTTAATTGGTGCATGCCTATGAAATATTTTATGTTGATGTGTTTTAGTGTTTATCTGCGTAAATTTGTACAAGAACTTAAAAAAATGCTACATTCTTGTAACTGCTTTTAGATGAATTTTGAGTACATTGTATAGTTTTAAATATTGCTATCCAATCATAAATGAAGTAATACTTCAGCAAACAAATTAACTTTCAACAAGATCATCCTCTTCAGCTGCAAAACCACATTTAAAGGTATAACAGTGAAGAAAATATTTTTAATGATGATTTCATTTACTGAAGCTTTACAATCGTATTTAAGATCATTGAAGACAAATTCTTGGAGATGATTGAAGATGAAATGAAAATTTGAACCTCAGCCAGATTCGAACCAGGACCACCAGATTCCGGTCCGATACTCTAACAACTGAGCTAAGAGGTCCGACTGCTGACCAGATATTTATTTCACTTCAACCCCTACGGGTTTTGCCCTACTACCGTGTGAATTCGTGACACGTAACTACCTAATTGTATTCACACTGGCTGCCTAGTCAGAACTTATTTCCATTCAAATCTAACTGAATTAGAGAGGGGGAGCATCATATTGGTTATCATTTAACCATCTGAGATAGCCATGGTTTGGCAGACTAGTTTTATATTGGGTGAAATAAAAATCTAGTCAGCAGTTGGCCTTCTAGCTCAGTTGGTAGAACATCGGGCCGGAAACCCGTGGTCGCTGGTTCGAATCCGGCCACGGTCCGAATTTTCATTTCACCTTCAATCATCACCCAACATAAATACCAGTCTGCCAAACTATGGTTATCTCAGATGGTCAAATGATAGTCTATTATTAATCACTGGGATACGTGATTACTGCGGTGTTGAACAGTAGAATAGAAAGTTTCTGAAGACAGAAAAAAATTATCTCTTTGACCATTATATGACTAATGAATGCTAGTAATGTTTTTGAACTCGAAGATCTGGTTTAAGGTTATATGTTGCCAATGATTCACTTATGTACACATGACACAGTCGTAGGCCTTCTGAATGGTAGGGGGTATTCTGTAAATTAATTTGAAAGAACTACTAAGGAGAGCTAGATGTCTGGAGATGATAAGGTTTTCAAGAACAGAACTGTTGGTATTCCTTATCTCCTTACTGAAAAGCTAAGCTAGACAATGTTCTAAAATACGGTTACAAACTTGACGTTGTTTACGGTGAATTTACCTCGCTCCTCAAAGACAAGTAAACTGATAGATGCACATTGTGGTGGTCAGCAGCTGAATTTTGTTCTAACACACTGATGGATTAATTATCTGCTCAGTTATTAATTTCTATTACCCTTTTACACTTGCAACTATTCTCTCACTTTATTATGAACTCTTTAATTCTCGGTTTCAACACCCATTTATCCATTTTTCTTGATCTCAACCTACTGAGAATAATCATTTTGACTATCTGAGATAGCCATGGTTTGGCAGACCAATATTGATACTGGGTGATGATTCAAGGTGAAATGAAAATTTGGACCACGGCTGGATTCGAACCAGCGACCACCAGGTTTTCCGGCCCGATGCTCTACCAAATGAGCTAATAGGTCAGATTACTGATCAGATTTTCATTTCACTTCAATCACCATGGGTTTTGCCCAACTACCATATGAATTATTGACTGATAGAAGTTGACATTTGTACCAACTAATATACAGACTAGTTATATTTAGATTCAATGGTACATCTCCGTGGGGATGATATCGCTGAAAACGAAATGCATAGTTTAATTCCTAAATGAATTCTTACACGGTGGAAACTGCTTACATGCGTATAATATTTGATCTTATGTAAATTCATGTATACTTCAAAGAAGGAGGGATAAAAATAAAGAACCATGTCAAAAAATGCATCAGTTCTCTTTTTTATTATTTGTCTCTTAGGTTCCTAATGGAACATAGGGCTTCACTAGCACGTCTCCAGTCCACTCCGCTCTCTGAAATCTTTTCAACCTGGCTCCACGACAGCCCACAACCTCTCATTTCTTCCTCACACTATCTCCTCCATGTCACCCTCAGCTGGGACGCCCAACTCGTCGTTTCTCATCTGAATTCCACTCGAGTGCCTGGCCTGGCACGTGATGTCCCCAGTCGGCCTTCTCAGTGTATGCCCACTCCAATCCATCTCCACTTCCTTCCAGTGCATATTTGTTGGGTGATAGATAGGTTCTTGGTTGGTTCGTTGACAGCCAGAGTTTCTTGTTGTTCATTCTTATTATTCTGGCCATCTGATCTTCAGTAACGCGCTAGCGTAGGCAGTTGATGAATGTCTATAGTTTGTTGGAAATCCGTTTCGTAACGCACCAAGTCTCTGAACTATACAGAAGCACACACAGAAGTACACACTAAAACAATTCAAGACAAAATGGTTGACAAAAGTAGTTATTCTTAGGGTGGTATTCCTCACAGACTGACATCAGCTAGAGAGTCAGTGGAATCTTGGGATTACTAGACAGCCGTTTCGTCCTAGCATGGGACTCCTTAACAGTACGCACCCATGATCTCGCCAGGGATCGAATGTAAGACATTCAGTTCTCGCAGTCACTCAGCCACTGAGAAAGATTCCAACGGTTCACAGTTTCCTACTTTTGTCAACTCGTCATATAGCTCCACTATTTACCAAGGTCGTTAGTTGGCATCCACTTCATTGACTACTGGCTGACTCGACAAGTCAAGGCTTCTCACTAGAACTTCGGGCTATCCACGTGAAAGGATGTCATTAATGTCCATTATACCGTGATATAATTTGGAATTTTTGGGGATTTTCGATTGTTCACGAACTAATGACAGTTTCTGATGAATACTAGCTTAATAATGAAATTCCCATGAACCTAAAACTACAAAAATAGTTATATCGTTAAGTTTGCTGATACACGTTGATCACTACTAAGGATTCGTCAACAGTATCAGTTACTGTTCAGTGACTGGTTCGTGTAAATAATCCATCCGATCAACCATAAAATGGCCTAATGATTAGGCACAACTTTCCGTAGATTGACTCCTAACGTCTCCGAGATAATTAAGCAAACGAGGTGAGGTGATATGACTGCAAAAGGCAACAAGAAATTTACTGTCAGAGGATGTTTGAGTGTAAGGGAAAAGTAGGGACTGAATTAATCACTTTAGCTAGTTTTCACTCTTATTGGGTGGAGCCTACAGCCACAGATTGTTTGAAAATGTTGGAAAAGATTTGTAGATCAGGATGAGGATAATGGTGATTCCGTGTTCTGTGAGCTTTGATATTTTGTTGTGGATGTTTGATCACAAGACTTGGTGATACCTCAGCATTAACTCCGTAAGGGAGTGAAGCATATTCGAATGTTTAGTGTTTCTGTTGACCTCAGGTGTTATCCCTTTGTAAGCTGACCTTAAATTTCCTTCGGTCACACCGTAGAGAATCTTTGTTAGAGTGAAACTGTGCTAATTGTTACTGTCACATTTGGTATCATAACTGATTTGTTTGGTCAATTTGCTTTTGGTTGATGGATGGTTGTTATCTACCTGAGTAAATTCTGGGTTGGGATTGACTTTTCCTTGGAATGCCATGCTTCTAGAAACTCGCTAGCAGTTTTCGAACCCACTATTTGGGGGACTTCCGTATTTTCCCAGTCAAACCTGTGATCTTGATAGTCTGCGTGCAGTGAAAATAAGAGGGTTGGGTCATGTCGCTTTTGTCCCAGTTGGTGTTGTACAACATAGTGTGTAGTGATTTCTTTGGTTTGTGCCCTACTCCAATGCCGAACAGACGGGGTGATTGGCTGACAGTTTCTTAGACATTTCTGACATATGGTAGAGTAAGGCACATATTGATTTGAGGTGATTGCCCTGTCTCCTTTCCTGCTGATAAACACATTTTGATAAAGTTTAGTGATAAATCATTGGCTTTGGACACTTTACACAGGTATTTTACTTCGGCTTTCCATAATACTTCGATGTTGCAATATGTATTGGCTCTTGAGAATAGTGTTTGGTAATCGATATGTTCAAAGGGTTCGATCCATAACTTTAAGCTTTGCTTCAAGTCAGTCCTACCTTAATCATTCTATTGCATTTGGTAAATCGGAAGGTTAGCCTTTTTTACGTGTACCTGTGCACCAAATGACAATATCAACCAGCTTTCATCGTCAATATTGTACTGATAAATGCAAGTGACTTCGTCTAGAAATACCACCAACAGCCACATAATTACCAGTGAACACAAGCCCTCCGACAAAAGCAAAAATGAAGTCCCGTACGCCATAAAGCTGCTGTAATCCGGGAAAGTTGCAGGGCCAGATGGAATTCCGCCAAGAGCGCTGAAAACAGACGCAGAGACAACAGCAAACACGCTCACACCACTATTGCGAAAGGTTCGCAAGGAAAGGAGGAAAGGTACCTGCAGATTGGAAGAAAGGCTATCTTGTCAAACTTCCAAAGAAGGGCAATCTGAGTCTTTGCAAGAACTGGCGCGGAATCATGCTCCACTTCTGTCCACCCCAAGCAACATATTAAGCCGCATCATCTTTAAGAGACTAAAAGATGTGCTGGATTCAAACTTACGACGGAACAGGCTGGCTGGATGGCTTCAGGAAAAATAAATCGTGTGCAGATCAAATCGCAGCACTACGCTACGCATCATCATAGAACAGGAGTATAGAATGGCAGTCAACTCTCTACCTCAACTTCATCGACTTTGAAAAAGCCTTCAACAGCATCGACGATAAGTAATTTGGCAGGCAGCTGCTTCTTCAGCACCACGGTTTTAGTGCCACAAACCTCGATCAACCTCATTCAACAACAGCTACATGCTATAAGATGCTAAATGCCAATTGATTTACAATGAAAGCTCAGGCCAGTGACGCCTTTGAAGTGAAGACAGTAAAGGAGTAAGACAAGGCTGCTACCTACTATCACCGGTTATCTTCCTGATTGTGGTCAACTGCACTGGACTGGACTGGATCATACAGCAAACCATGAGGAGCGAGAAGATGGGCATGCGCTGTTTGGACCGATGAAAAGACCCCAGAAGAAGATTTGGATTTCACCCGTGATGACTCATGTCTAACGTCTTGTCGCACAAACTCGATGATCTGCAGGTAAAAACCAACAAGTTGGTGGAAAAGGCAGGCAGCGAAGACGGAACTTCAAGTGAACGTAGAGAAGACAGGTGATGAAGATACCCAACCAACAGCAGCATCAACAACAAGCAACAATCACCATGAGCGGATGAAACCTAAATGAAGTAGTCTCTTCCACCTACCTACCTAGGAAGCATCGTTTCAACTACAGACGGTGGCACAGATGAGGATGTTAAAGCCAGGATCATAAAGACAGCAGGACAAGCCTTCCTTCATTAATCTAAAATCAGTGTGGAGATCTACTGCACTCAGCAAAAAGTGTGAAAAGCATCCGAATTTTCAACACCAACGTGAAGTCAGTGCTGGTATACGGTTGAGAAACTTGTCGTGTTACGAAAAGCATTTCCAACAGACTACAGACATACATCATCAACAGCTGCGGCCTACTGTCACACGATACTGGAGGATGGAGATCAGATGGCCAGAATGATAGGAATAAGGAACAAGGAACTCTGGCTGGCTGGCTGGCTGGTAACGAACCAATCAACCAAGAACCAATCGCGCAACAAATATGTGGAAGGAAGTGGAGATGGATTGTATTGTGTATACACTGAGAAGACCATTTGGGGACATCAGGTGCCAGTCGAAGCCCTCAAGTGGAATGGAAGGGTGAACGACGAGTTGTTGGTGCCAGGCGAGGGTGATATGGAGGAGATTGTGTGAAGAAGAAACGAAAGCTTGTGGGTAGTGGTAGAGCTAGGTTGAAAAGACTGCAGAGAAGAGAGTGCAATGGAGACGTGCTACTGAAGCCCTATGTTCCACTAGGAACCTAAGGGACATATTATAAATCATAAACGCAAGTGGCTTAGTTTAATGAAAGAATAATATTTTGAAGATAAACTAATTTTCAATCAAATCACTATGACAAAGCTATCAGTAATATTGAAACTTAATTTTATAAAATTGCATTTAAGAATAATGCCTTCTCATAGTTTTATTGTATCCTGAAAAGTAAAAATCTATTCGTACAAATCACATTGATTTTACATTTCTCATGTCTATATTTTCATTTCCATCTTTGATCATAACATCACGAAAACCACTAAAATTTCCACTAAATCAAAAATTATTTACATCAGTATACATACAAAGTATATGTATACACAAAAACATGCAGTTGGAGTGCTCAATTTCGCTATTACACTTGACTACAACCTGTCGTTAGTTCACATGATAATTTGAAACTAGTCAATTGCAATGTATACTGTTATCTTTGGTACCAGTTAGTTATTTTCATGCATATTGTTAGCATAATTAGGTTAAAGACTTGTTTGGTATCTGCTAACTTGCAGTATTTTTGGCACTGACTTGCGAGGTATCTGGTTACCTATTTAAGAACGAGTATACTGTACTACAGTCTATTCTGACCTGTAATACAGATATAAGACATAAATCGATGAAAGCAGATGGTGTATAGGCATTATAATTTTTGGAACACACGCTAATTGTGGAATCACTATGTGACCAATGGAGAGGTTAGGCGAAAGTTACTAGGCAAGGAAAGAAAATCGGTCAATGAGTTTGTGAAACTTCAGCAACTGAGGTAACTTGGCTATGTGTTGAGCACGCCGAGCTACCGCTTGCCTCTATGTAAATTGCTAGCAAAACTTGAATTAGGTCGAAAGAAAGCCCAGGGTGACTAGACGAAGACATGGCACCAATTCATGAAGTCTGTGACTGTTGATCGAGATGTAGGGAGAAGTAGACTACCTGGCTAGTGTTATTGAGACTATAGGAATCACTGATTGAGGACTTGGTGAAACGGCTAAAAATCAGTCACAGTGGCGCAGATTTATTCTCTCACTGACGTCTTCTAAAGCTTGAATATTTACAATTACCTTTGTCTTCAAATGGCTTCTCTTACACCACTTCATCTACTTTGATACCACTCATATTCTATCCACCTATTCTTTGTATATTACTGTAAAATGTGGCAACCTGAACCAGTGGACTTATGTACGACGTTCTGCGTTTAAATTTGTCATATTTTTATAATCTTCTGTTTATTCATCAATAGATAATGAGCGGTATGGTAGCTAATTCTATGATGACTGATTTAGTCTGGAAAACTTTATAGATCTGAAACTAATCAATAAATTTCCATATTATGCTTTTTTTAATGAATAAAAAAAAGTCAGTTTCGCTTCGCCTGATCATACCTATCTTAACTAGGAATTAATTAGAACTAAGAGAATAATGCTGGTGATTTTCATAGAAATGAAATAAATGATTTGTTAGGTGATGGTGAAAGAAAAATTTACCAACCTTCACATATTTTAAGTTTTATCCGGAATCAAAACAGCATAGCGCAGTGTAAATACTACTGATTAAAGAGACTAGTTATGCATTCTTTATACTACTGATTCATCAAAATACCAAACAATGAGACACAAATGATTTAATGTACAACTAGGTGCTTGTTTATTTTCCAAGACAACAACATAAAACGAATGGTAAGAGACTGCCGAAATGGAAACTTTTATTTGACATCGACAGTTGTAGAGGGTGAAGATTTCCTCAGAATGCCATCCAATGCCACTGAACCAACTATAGTAATCTGTTGATATTGGGTGATGATTGAAGGTGAAATGGAAATTTGGACCGCAGCCGGATTCGAACCAGCGATCACCGATAATCTACCAACTGAGTTACGAGGTCAAACTGCTGCTGAGAATTTTATTTCACTTCAATCACCATGGGTTTTTCTTAACTACCGTGTGAACTCTTCACACGTTACTGTCGCTTGGTCGTATTTACACCACGGCTATTTCAGATGGTCAAAATGATCCCCCTCTCTAATTCAGTTAGATTTGAAATACTTTCAGTGGACCGGTCACGGAGCATCATCTGGTGTTTGACATATTTATATTTGTACTCAATGCATCCAGAAGACCCTGAATTCTATCAGCATCTTCACATCGCAGGACAATATCGTCTGTTACTGTAAATATAGGTATTTACAATGCTCCGGTTGAATTGTACTTAGTGGAAGAGCTTTGGTGAATTGTTTAACTGAACTTTTGAAACTGTCTGAGATCTAGGTATTATACCGAGAAGTCCTGTTTTTTCTAGCACGTTTTAAATTCTAATTAATGCTACGTTTATGGATGCATGTTCATAATTCGATTTCAAAAACAGCACAGGTATCACCAGGACAGGAATAATAATAATCATAATAATAACAACCGTTATAAGCATTTGTCATACCTGTAGAAAGTTTAATTCTTTCGAAGTGATAGGTGGTTGTAATGAAGTAAATTTCTCTTCCAAATCTTCCTGCAAAATACAAAAAAGTGTGCGAAATGAGCGAAAAATTAACAAAGGGTAAATACTATTATCCTTTGAGAAGTGACTTCACTTATGATCGGATTGATATTGAAGAAGATGATGAAATAAGTTGACCTCATCAAGAAAGTAGACTTCACTGACTCAGCTGGTACAGTGATCAATATGTTTTTTTATTTACTCCTTGGTTGGTTAGCATCTTCATACATAACAGATGGAGACAGAAATCAACATAGAACCTCGTATAAACGTGCATTATTTCAAGTTGCGACACTTCTCACTGATATGAAAAGAACAAGTGAATGCAAGAGTATTTATATCAAAGTAAACAAAAGTGTGTGGAAGGATAGGGGATCAAATGAGAAACGGCTAAGAAGGGTGTTTAAGCTATTGAAGATGTTAAAACTGGATTCCTCTGCATCATTGTAACTGATTTTCACTCATGTTGACAAGTGTTTTCAACCATTCATTCTATCTTTTCGAAAACCCAACCAGGCAGTCTGCACCTTATATAGCTCAAATCAGCAGTCACAGAGTTCATGGACTGACACATTTTGGTTTGGTCCTCCTAAAGCTTCTTACAATCCAACCCTACTTTGGCCACGATTACATATCTGATAGGTGGTGACTCAGTGTGCATAACATGTGTAAGAGTCACCTAAGTTTGTTAGGCTTCACAACCTCACCGAATGTCTTGGTGACATAACTCAACGTTGGTCCCATCATACGTGAGCAGTACTCCAATTTAGCTTTGCTCGGAAATCTGTTATCTCTTCGTATTTCCTACTTTCGACAGTCATTCCTCACAGCTGCGTGATAGGGCTGGACGAACTACTGCTCAGAATACTCACACTTCTATAATTAGTCGAATATCTCACCCGCGCTAGTGATGAAGGAAGTTGTCGAGTGTCTAAAGAGCTCTCGGTATTCGAGCTCAGATTTGGCTAGCGATCTGCGTTTTCATGCTTAAACAGCTCCTAAGGTAATTAGAGTAATCAGTACATTATAGCACTTCACTTCCCATCCTCAGACTAGGAGTAGTTGCAGACCAGTATTTAAACACAATCTTACATTTGATGGGTTCAAAACGTATACGAAAAGTATTCAAATTTCTCCTCAAGGCGTCTTCATTTAACACGACTGTATCGTTTGTATACCTCAGGATAACAACATGCCCTCCTGGGAGTGACTCAATCTTCGTAAGATCTGAGTTAGCCAGCGTCATAACAATTGATGCATCTTTAAGCGAGTTAAACAGGATCGTGACAGTAGACATCCTTGGCGAAAGCCACTGGTTGTCTTCATTTCAGGTAGCAACTTATGAACCTTTACACGAATCCAAGAAGTTCCCAGTTTTTTGTCACTATCATTGGAAAAGTGATATTCAAGTCAAAAGGTGACCAAGAGCTTCACTTTAACTGTTGACGAAAAATATACACTTATATAGGTTAACATTTAATCAGGTGTTTCTCAAAAGAATGAACTTATTCTTCAGTGAGACGTCTGCTACTGTAAATAGGTAGACTGATTTGACGTTAGTGGAATATCAAGTCAAGTCGTTCGTAAAAGATCTATCTTCTTCAATTTCACTCAGAGTTCATAATCAAACTAACGGACTTAAATAGATTGTTACCAACTTCTTAGAGCTGTTACTACAGTACAAATTACTTTGAAAAACAGTTACTGCACATTGAAAAATTAGTTATGTTGAATAGGGAAACGAAAAAAGGAATTTTTTTGCATATCTTTTTACTTCATATTGACTATCACGCCAATCTGTGATATGTCTACTATTCTGTTGAAAATCATTAGCTTGATGTACAAACATCATCAATAATACTTAGGTGTTCCGAACTTCACTTTAATACTTTTGTGATGATAAAAAGAAAAATGGTCATAAGTTTGCAGTAATAGGAGCTTAGTTGTAATTTACTTTTCTGACAGAATTCAGTTAAACATCTTGGAGTTATTCAATCTAAAATTTTTATATGCATCAGTGGCCTAGTGGGTAATACTTTGGCATTTAAAGAGAAAGGTGCCGAGTTCAGGATCAAGTGGAAGCAACATCACTTACCAGGAGCCAAGTACAAACAGATGATGAGTCTCAAATGGGACAAGACGAGCTCCCTGGATTCTAAAGTTAGCCATCACCAAGTAATTCATAACATAGTGAATGTTCATGCAATGCTTAGGCATTCGCATAACAGCCAATATGTCCAACCATGGTCAATCAACTCGATACTGTAAAACAACGGGATGTTACAAGTATCACTAAATCGTACTATTTCCATGTATTGATTGGTCACGGGAATGTGACCAATTTCATGTTGTCTAGTCCTGAGTGCAGACCGAATTCTACCGATCATATTTGCAATGTGACCACCAAGCTAGGAAGCTCAGCATCGCGGTGCACATTAGTAGATGTTAGTTGGTTGGAGGCAATCGACAAGATTCGGTCTGCACTCAGGACTAGATAACATGGAATCAGTTGCACTCCTGTAAACAATCAATAAATGTTTAGTTTGAAAAATGCAGAATCATTCGACGAGTTACAGAGACCCAAGTGTTAAAACAGACTTCAAACTGAGTGAAGTGTATAAGTATATTTTTGATTCAAAATTTGATGATGAAATTGGCCTAATATTATCAATCTCAGTACAAGAAGACAGTGATGTTTGAATATGTTGTGGACCAAATTTATTCATCATCCTCTTATTTAAATTAATATATATGCCACTTATATTGGGCAAACTAAATCGAACGTCACGACAAATAGTCATAGACTGGAGAATCATTGAAAACCTGGGAAAGGTGAAAAACTATTTTGTCCTAGTGTGGGACCCTTCATATTGTATACATGCACATGTTGATAGTTCTTGCCACCTGTACGTTGCTTATATCAATATTTGGGAGTGGGTTGAGACTAGGTCAAATTCATCTTTATTCCTCTTTGGTCAGTTTTGATTCCAGTTTATCTAAAGAGACTCGTTGCTCTGAGACGTTCTTTATAATTTTCTAAGCCTTTTGAGTAATTTCAATATTGTCAAAATCAATACACACTCTAATAACAGATGAAAATGAAAGAGTTAATGAATTAAAATATTTGACCAAGGTACTTAAAATGAATAATTATTCCGTGAAATTTATTCAAAAAATAGAAAATCATATCAATTTAAATAGGAAATCTACCCCTTAATCATGGGCTTCAACAATAGTTATCCCTTACAGATCACACTCATCACATGAAGTTAACAGAGTGCTCAACAAATACAATATCAGAGTGTTCTACAGAACATCAAACACATTGCAGAGTACCTTAATTCATTTGATGGATGAGATCCTTCTAGATTCTATAATCTAATTGTGTTTACAAAATAAAATGCTCAGACTGTGAACACCAGAGTTCCCAGCTGACCCCATAGAAATCCAGTGGAACGGAAAAACTTGAAAACACTTCAACCATACCTCTACATGACATCGTTTCAGGTCACAAGGTTCATGTTGACAATATCGAAATTATTCAGAAAGGTCACTTTAGAAATTGTAAAGAACATCTCAGCAGAATCTCTTCATACGAAGGGGAATCAAAATTGTCTAAATTGGAATGAGAAAGTAAGACATAGTTTGATGTGGTCTTAACTCAACCCCACATACTGAGATAACTATCCTGCATGAGATAATATCTATCAACACATGTGTACATACAAATCTCAATCTGTAATTTATGCACTCCTCACACACGCAATACCTTACAATATGGATATCATCTTTATTCTATAATTCTGATGACGCAGAATTATTCATGCAGAAAAACACTTGTCAAGTACACATATGTAAGCATGGATATTGTAAATTTGGGTTTACCATAACTTTGATAAAGCCTATTAGCACTTAATAACGAAACGTCAGTTAAAATAAATTTATTTTGTTTTACATTCATTGGGAAATACAAATACTAAAATAATGTTCTTCCAAGTATTTATTGTCCAAATCGAACTTGTGACCTGAAATGATGTCATGTAGAGGTATGGTTGAAGTGTTTTCAAGTTTTTTCCGTTCCACTGGATTTCTATGGGGTCAGCTGGGAACTCTGGTGTTCACAGTCTGAGCATTTTATTTTGTAAACACAATTAGATTATAGAATCTAGAAGGATCTCATCCATCAAATGAATTAAGGTACTCTGCAATGTGTTTGATGTTCTGTAGAACACTCTGATATTGTATTTGTTGAGCACTCTGTTAACTTCATGTGATGAGTGTGATCTGTAAGGGATAACTATTGTTGAAGCCCATGATTAAGGGGTAGATTTCCTATTTAAATTGATATGATTTTCTATTTTTTGAATAAATTTCACGGAATAATTATTCATTTTAAGTATTTTAATTCATTAACTCTTTCATTTTCATCCATTATTAAGGTGTGTGCTCTCCTTAAAAGACTGCAGGTAACAGAAACTTTCGCTCGAATTGGATGTGATGAGTTGAAATCTAAATATTCATTCGAATGTGCTACTTTCAAGAGGACTTTAAAAATCACAAGGGACTTCTTATAACATAATCTCTTCAAAGAAAATGGGACCAAAATTGTTTAAGTAGCAGTGAGGAAACAGAAGGTAGTTTGATCTGGTGTCAACTCACCTTCATACACTGAGATATCTTCAGGGGAATGATCCAAATCAGGTTGTCCGAAATAAAGAAATGATATAGGAATAGTGTAAGTGATTTAAAGTTGGTATTCATCATGGACTGACATAATTTGGAGAATCACTGTATACTTAGGAGCATTGGACAGGTTTCTTGTCTGAATCTGGAACTCTTCACAGTACGCACCCATGATCTCACCAACGGTCGAAACTGAAACCTTCAGGTTTCATGGTGGTGTTATGGGTACACACTTCTAAGAAGTCCCAAACTAGGATAAAATATTTCTCCTAGGATTTCAATAATCCTGTAACTGATTCTAGCCCACGATAAACACCAACTTGAAATCAATAGACGCTCAAAAACCTGCAAAATTTAATAGATGATTTTCTTGTTGAATGCTGTTTATTTTGCTATTAACTAAGTTTTTAGTCGTAAATTATGCTGTTGTATGATTTTTATGTTTGTGTGTTGTTTTTCAAAGTTTTTTTTGTGCAAGTAGAAGGCGAAAAAAATCAAATACGCTGAGATTTATACAAATATAATTTACATCTAAATCATAGATAAGGTGTTAGCTCTTTGTATAAAAATTTAATTCTACTCCAGTTAACATTACCCATCTGAGTAGACGATAATTGTGTTTGCATAATGAGAACTCATAACCTGATCAAGTAATTTACTTTCTTTGGTTAATACTTTTTGTTGTAAAGGGATTCCATTACACTAAAGTATGCATTAGATTTGAGTTGATACCGCTATATAATCTCGAAGTTTGTGTTGTAAGTAATACAACGAAGTACACTCCACAACCAAGTGCATACCGTACGTATTGTGTGAGGGCAAATGATAAAACTTAAAAGGTTAAAATTTAGCAGACTGAATGGGTTTCAAACCCGTCACCCACTGAATAAAATTCGACTACTTCAACCAATGAGCCATAGCTCCAGAAAGACAAAATCAACCCAAAACCTCGCATAAAAGTCCGTCGGTTCACACTTCACAGTTGCATGCAAAGAGCAAGAGGATAGAAAAAGACTGATATCAAAGTAAAAAGAGGTGTATTAAAGGAGAAAAAAGTCTAAAAATGAAGGTTGGTGAAAGTATTCAAGCTTTCAAAGACGTCAAAGAGTAAATACATCTGTTCCATTGTGACCGATTTTCAGCCATTTCACCAAGACTCCGTAACCACTGTTAATTATCGTCCCTAGGACCCTAGCAAGGTAGTCTACTCCTCTCTGTATGCCTCAGATCAACAATCACTACTTCATGAGTTAGTGCCACGTCTTGGCTTGGATACTGCGAGCCTTTTACCAACCTAATCCAAATTTGTTAGTATTGCACACCAAGGTGGGCGGTGACTCCGCGTGAGCAAAACACACCTCAGTTGCTGAAGTTTCACAAACTCATTCATCGACTTGGCTTCCTTGCCTAGTACCTTTCGTCTAAGCCCTATATCGCTAACATAAGGATTTCACCGTGAGCGAGTATGCTATTAGGATACCTGTGTTCCGAAACCTACAATATCCTTATATCTTCTTCTTTCACCGACCATGTCCTACGGCTGTATAGCAAGAAAGAATGGACTACAGAGCCGAACAACCCTTCTTTAGCATGGAGTCAGATTTCAAGCCAGTCGACACCACAGATAACGCAAGTTGGGAAGTACCAAAAAGGCCTTCTGTATCCGAGTTGATATTTCGTCAGCGACCATCCTGTTCGAGCTGATGCAACTCCCCAAGTAAGTGAAGTAATCCAAACACTCCTCAACTGTCCTCCCTATCATTAAGCTTGGAGTGGTTGCAAACCAGTAGTCCTGGAACTTCATCTTGCATTTGATACATGCCAGCAAAGAGCTTGCCAAACATACTCAGATTTCTACTCAGTGCGTTCAAAAGAACCTGCATTTCGTCAGCGTCTTCACCCAGCAGGACAATATCATCTGCAAACACCAGGGAACAGGTCAATCTGTGTGAAGTCAGACACCCCTAGTTGTCTCCATTTCTGATGACAGCTCTCTGTGAGCCCTTAGACAGCTGTGTGAGTTCCAGTAGAGAGCTTTGAGTGGCATTTAATGCTTTCTCGGTAGTCTCTTCACTGTCAGACACTGCCACAACACTTCGCGGTCGAAAGAGTCGAATTCCGCCTCCAGGTTAAGAAATATGTCCGGTAGGCATGCCTATGTTCCAGAACCTGTCGGAGGGTGGAAATCTTATCGATTCACCCTCGTTCAGGTCTGAAACCGTCCTGGTTTCCTCTAGTTTATTGTTCTTGAGATCCGGTTAGGCATCAAATATGGATCTTGAACCGAATAAGTCAAACTAATTCCACAAATCGCTGTCCATTCTACAGCCTGTTATCCCTGGAGTTTTTAAACATTGGTTTTAGAACCAATGCTGTTTATTAAGATAAAGAAGCTGTTATAACTCATTGAAATGGGTATTTCATTTCTGCGTTTATCATCTTTGGAAGTGTAAAAATGTTATACTTACTCGATTCTCGGGTACGATCAGTTTGTAGCCTTTGAAAAAACTGTTTTTCTCAAAAATTTCTCTATGTCTTGGAACCAAATCACCTATGTAGATCAAGAAAAAAGGATAAAGACTGGAATATTATGCTTTTCTTGGAAAGGGAGTGAATTGTTTCTAAATACTGATCACATGAATGATACAAATTAGTACCTAATTTCAAGAGAAATTCTTTACAAAAGTCACCAGAAATATGATAGAATGTAATTGAGATTAGGAGCTTGAACAATAAAAAATATACCAGCCTAGTTCCACAAAGGAGAAAAGAGAACAGCAGCCCAATTGAAGAACATTCGGTTGATTATTATCACTCAGTCAAGGCAGAAAATAACTTCATTGTCATGTATTGAGTTCGTTCAAGTTTTGTGAAAGGTATTTCCCCTTAAAACTTCTTTAAACTGTGGAAGCTATGGAAATTAATATTTTTAAGTCTGAACTCTATGTTCAAAAGAAATCTACCCATTCACTTGATTTGCAGTGAACATAACTTATCAGAACATTTTTACATTGAAAGATTTTTTCATTCAGATCTCATATATTAGGTTCCCCCACTTCTATAATTCTGATTTCTCTTTATATTCACCACATTAGATCATTTAATTTAGTAAGCAAATATTACTTTGATCTTCAAAAGTTTTCTTCTCATTACTATTTCAAACATAACGTAATTTTTTTCCTGATATTCTGATTTATGATCAAATCTGAACTTTGTTGAAAATATTTCATGAAACCTTCCTTTCTGTAACTATATGAATAGAATATTTAATTGCTATTGTACAGTTTGAGACTGCTATCGCTAAAAAGAGTGACTCTTCTCTAAACGTCTTTTGTTTCATAATGAGATTATCAATTTTTTTGTTTCTAAATTTTTATCAATTAAACAAATATGAAAACACATATCATTATAAATAAATGAAAGTCTAGTGTGCTTACTTTTTCATCTGCTTAACTATGAGGCTGATTTTTTATTTACTTTTTCAAAGTTGAAGATAATCGTTCAAAATCAGTATCATTAGAGAGAGGCAATTCCACTTCAACAACGGGGAACGACTTTTTCTAGGTAGGTTTTTTTTTCATTTCTAACACTATAAACTCTTTCGACGGCCATGTTGACGACCGTACAAGCTTATGACTAGTTAAGGCACCGAATTATGTCGTTTACTGAATCTATCATTTACCAAACATTAATGAGGATTTTACAATTAGAAAACCATTCATTAACTTGGTATTTCCTTCACTGAATACAGTTCGTTTAACCTATCATAGTAGGTAATTTTTAAAGTAGTATTCAAGTGGGTTGAATCAGATAAAATTAACATATGGAGAATTTTGTAAATAAAACAACTGCCTACGCTGTCTCGTTACTGAAGATCAGATGGCCAGAACAATAATAATGAGCAACAAGAAACTCTGGCTGTCAACGAACCAACCAAGAACCTATCTATCACCCAACAAATATGCACTGGAAGGAAGTGGAGATGGATTGGAGTGGGCATACGCTGAGAAGACCGACTGGGGACATCACGCGTCAGGCCAGGCACTCGAGTGGAATCCAAATGGGAAACGACGAGTTGGGCGTCCCAGCTGAGGGTGACATGGAGGAGATAGTGTGAGGAAGAAATGAGAGGTTGTGGGCTGTCGTGGAGCTAGGTTGAAAAGATTTCAGAGAGCGGAGTGGACTGGAGACGTGCTAGTGAAGCCCTATGTTCCATTAGGAACCCAAGGGACAAATAATAGTAATAAATATGTTTAAATCCATTATTTCTATCGCTTGTAACTGGAATAAACGTTAGATAACTTCACAACAATTCACTGCTTCTATGTGGCTTCCTTTTATTCTCAGTCTTTTCTCCTATTTGCGGTAAACAATTATAATATTATGTTGTTGGATGTATTATTCCATTGCTGATTGAACCGAATTGATTGGTTTTTGTTGGCATATCCAGCTGACGAATTCTAAATAGGAGAAAACGTACATGGTGGGTCCTCCTACTGGCCACTATTCATCATTAATATAAAATTGAAACGACAGGCAATGTCAAGGCGTCTGTATAGGAGCCCATATGCCAATAGAGACCGATAGAGTCCACTCAACGACGGGATAATTCAGCCAACAACATAAAAACTATACCTGTCTCACAAAAAGTGGCTATCGTGAATCAGTGGCCTAGTAGATAACACTCTGGCTTTCGAAATGATCGGTCCCGGGTTTGAGTCTTAGTTAGAACAACATTTCTCACTGGGAGGCAGGTACGTCCAGCTGAAGAGTCCCAGAAAGCGTATGGGGGGGATGCACGTATTGGATTCCACTGCTAACCACTATCTATCATTACTGTCTATCACACTAGACTGTAGAGTTTATTAATCCAAGGTTTCTGTTCAAGAAGGTTCTTTGTGTACATGCTGAAGGAAGTGATTCGTTTTTCCATAAATGCATACCTTCTATCTTCATTGTTCATTTACTGAAGATTCCAAACATATCAAGATAATAATCTAATGAATAAGACATATTAGTTAATGATTGGTTGCTTTAACAATGGGCTGAATTTAGAACAATCCCTACCTTATATGAGTGCAAAACTTTTTTTCTGATACATCATTCAAGTATATGTAATGAATTCGAAAGGTGCTTACCCAGTGTTCGTGTAATCAGGTGCAGTTGGTCTAAATCAGATCGACCAGGCCATAAAGGTACAGCAGTGAGCATTTCAGCAACTACACATCCAATAGCCCATATATCCACTGGTGTCCCGTATTGTGTATCACCGACTAGTAATTCCGGTGCTCTATACCATCGTGTTGCCACATAATCGGTGTACTCATCTCCTGGTCCAGCTAATCCATTGTTAAATATAAAGAAGTAATATGTTAAGATAAATTAAGCAGAATATTACCTCATGCAATGCTTAAATGAGAACTGTTTCAAACTTTTATTTTTATAGTACACATCATAGATATGTCTCAACAGATTGATGGATAGTCTTCAGCTTCTATACAAGATTTTTTCACCATAACCGTACTGCAGTGTGAAACAATGTAACTTTTCGCTTGAATGGTACCAACTTACGGTTGTTCTTGAGACACTGTCCCGATCATAAGACTTTAAACTAAAATCGATATTAATTGATCTCTTTTTTTCCTTTAAAAAGCATCTAAAATAATGACTTATAAACTAAAGGATATTTTTTAGCTGTCTGCTTACTAATGCCCATTAACAACAGTACATGTATTGTGAAATGCACATGTATATTCTGGTGAAATGGTTTACTCTAGGTCAAATTTTTGGTTGGTTGACATTTCACTGTTAAATTAGAGAATACTTTCTAGATAAACCGTGTAAAGGAGTGAATTCGCATCTTATTTTTAGTGTCTACATTTTGACTGAGGTCTACTTGGTGTCGTGTCAATTACTAAAACACTATCCACTGGATTATTGAGTTATGAACACCAACTTTGAGTAAGATAAATATAAAGTGTTGCTGAAACTTAAATTTTTCTATCACTGATATTTTGAACGAATTTAAATGTCGCCTTTATATTCTTTTAGCAGAAACGTATGATTACTTCAAAATTAAGTTACCTGGTACAAAGTGCTCTGATTTTGAAAGCAACAGATACCAGGCTTCGGTAGTAAAGGGTTCATCTTGCTTATGAATAATGCATAGGACGTAATCTTCATTCACAAATTCACTGTTAGCCATCAGTAACCAAGTGTGAGCACACAATGAACAGTAGTATACGACTATCCGAACATAGTGCTGAGATACCAAACTTTCTTGTTCATTAATTCGATTCAAAACGTTTAGGTATACATATGCGTTAAAGTTGTCAATTGAAATGTAACAGGTCCATTTAGATAGCTATTGAATCCAAAATCCTAATCAGTTCAGCTTGTGTTACCTAATCATCAAATTACTCAATGTACTGCGTCACTGATAAGTTTGAAAAGTATATGACGAGATGATATGCGATTTTTAGTGGCTTTCTTCAACTTAATGGTCTGTTTGTATGCTAATCAAGGCAAGGCATTTGGTTGCTGATCAAAAGCTTATATCCCAATCGAAGTAAAATTGTATCATGGTGCTATTCACCATAGAATAAAATCCTTTGGAGGACCATTGAAAACATGGGAGCACTGAACACATATTTCGTCTTGGCATGGGAACCTTCAGCAATGGGCATCAATTACCTCACTAAGGACCTAACCATGGACCTTCAGAATTCGCGGTGAACGTGTTATCATTGAGTCAGTGAGACAGAACCCAGAGGTCCGTATTTTCCTATTTCCATCATTCCACGATATAGCCTGACCTTCATCCAATGCCATTGCTGATTATCTATCCTCACATCCAACTTGGTTCGCCTCACTGGTCCTGACTTATCATAAGAACCTCGGGAAATCCCTTCTGGAAGGATTTCACTGGGTAGAACCGAACAGTAATTCACTTTGAAGGTTTGTCGAGATTTTTTTCTCTTTAAGATGATGAATACCACCTTAGTCTTCGCCTACTAGTTGGAACTCGCTAGCAAAAGCCATGCATGTTTATATGAATAATTGGCTGATTTAGTGTTACCAATACCTAGCTAACAGCCAAACATACAACTTGTATTCCATAGGTCAGAGATGAAATATCTCTAGTTTCAATTAAAATCTGCCTTTCTCACTATCTTTTATCATTCTCCTTGTATAAATACCAATTTAACATTTTTCATGAGTAAACTAGTCAATTAATGAAAAAATTAATTGAAAATAAATATGTATGAGTGCTTACTTAATAATCTTGCGAAACCGAAATCGCATAACTTCAGTTGACCAGCTTTTGTGATAAGTATATTCTCTGGTTTAACATCACGATGGATACACTTGAAAGGATTAAAAAACAATAATATCGAATATTATGAAATTAGTGTTAGTGATATGAACAAGTATTCATCAGAATTTACTGGCAATTTGTACTTTACAAATAAATGTCTAATCGCAACGTCGAGGTTCTCATTTTGTAATGATAAATATTTAATGTTATACTGGTGGGCTATTCACAACAAGCTTATTATTTATAGTCTGAACAAAATGGAACCAAGCAGTTGACAATTTTTGAAGTTAGGCATATAATACTAGGCAACTGAAAAACTAGATCCATGAAGTTTTGAACATAAACCGAATAAGGTGACCTTAACATATGCTAAACTGAGACAGAACTAGATTGAAAGGAAGCTGATAGCAGTCGAACAAAGACAAGCGTATCAACTGATGAAGACTGTGGCTGTTGGTCTGAAGCTGTATAGGGAGTAGTAGACTATCTGGCTAGGGTCCTTAGGAAGATAGAAATCAGAGGTTAACGACTCTTGGTGAAATGGTTGAAAATCAGCCACAATGGCGTAGATCTATTCACTGTTTAATGTCCGTGAATGTTTTGACTAACCTTCATTTTTAAACTCTCTTTCCACTCATACACTATAATCAACCCTGATAAGAGTCTTTTGGCATCCCTTCATTCTTTCTGTACCGTTGGAAAGCATGACAACTAGAACCGATGAACTTCTGTATGGGGTTCCCTATTGATTTTGTCTCTCTGACTGTTCATGTAGGAAGTTTAAGGCTAAGTACTATAAGTTAATCAGGAATTCATTTTACAATCACTCATAGTCGATACTAGTTAAATGAGAAGAAGTCATAAGTATGCATCTGTGGACCTTTTTGGGGATGTAAGTGATGCAGTTGTACGGTGAAAATCAATTTGAACGGATGACAAATTTATAGTCTAGTAGTATGAACTTGATTCCCATAGCTAACAAATCAGCAATCTGAAGATAACTATTTAGCATTTAAAGCTTGTTGTGCAACACAGTGTGAGTGGTAAGAAAGACGTATTTTTATCCCATGTCGAAGAATAAGACACAAGAGCTTCCTTGTACTTCTTGTTAAATATTGTTTATACGACTTCTGTCGAAGTATGATTAGCGTCATCTTAAACCTGTCTTGGTACAGAAGTTGATCATCAGTGGAAAAATGATTTGACTGTCTAGTCCCTAGTTGTTCTAAATGTTAGAAGAATTCTCTTGATCCTTTTCTAATGTGACTCCACATCGCAGTGTACTTTGTTGCATGTTAATTGCCTGCAGGCAGTCTGCAAGTTCCGCGCTTGTTGGTATCCTTCAGCAAAGCGTATCCTCAACTTCGAAAGAACTAATGTCCCCCTCTGAGGTCTGGACCCTCGTCATCAAATGTTGTAGTCAATATAAAATTGCTTACTCTCCAAAGACAGATCAATGTATCTAATCCCGTCCTACAGGGGGTCAAATGTGGCCGTAATAGCTCACTGGTAAAGTTTTTGACTGCAACAGTGGGTAAAACAGGTTTGAATCTGGTACATGCCCTAATTTTGCTTACCGTTTGCTTGATATTTGTCCATAAACTTAAAACAACTTTATCAATGCTGTTCTGCACCACTGCTAGCTTTTGTTTTTTCAACTGCTTCTGTAGGCTGAGCTCTCATTGATTGTTAAGTCTTTTAGTAGTGTCAAGGTCATTTTAGACGTATGTGTCCAGCATCTCTCTTAACTAGTTTTGACTGTTGTTGAGACAATAAAAGCTCTTTGTCAACGGTCCGGCTTCTCTTCTTGTCTTTACATGCCAGTGATATTGTTGATGTGGTGGTTGACGCTCTGATTTGCTTTTGGAGTAGATCGTTTTAGCGTTACGTTCATAAGGCTCACGGACTGCTAGGTTGCACTAATGGTCATAGCAGAACCTCAGAATGGCATCAGTTCCCTCGAGTTCGCTGACACACCTCCTGACGAGGGTTTACAGGCATGAAACTTAGATGGATAGCTTCTTGTCAACCGATTACAACTATCTAAACTTCAGAAACTTACCTAGAACATAAAAAATCATGGAAATAAATGTGAAATATAAACAGGTAGAAAAATTATCATGGAATATCACAAACTATTCTAGCCTTCATACATTGTGCGCATGACAAAAGTTCACTGCTTGTAATAACTGATACGTCAACTTTCTGATCTGCAATCGATCCAACCTGAAAAACAGGAGATATATTAAACAAAGTTAGGCGTTAAGGGCAAAAATTAGCCAGTATTAATCAGTTAGATTCACTGAGTAATAACCGGTTAATTCATGTTTGGGGTTACTGATATCCATAAGTAGTACATATCTACACAAATAAAGTTATTTCTTACAATTGAAAGTATCTTTTTCATTTTTGTTTACTAGGAGATATTATTAAAGAGTTCGCTGACTAATGCAATTTTGAAACAATGGTTTACGAGAAAACTGAATTCATTTTTCAGTCAGAAATGTGGAAGCCACTGTAATTAAGAAACAAAAAAAACACTCACCAATATGTTCAAATGATAAAAGTTAGAGAAATTTGAAAGGGAATCTTTTTAAATGTGAGGAGAAGTATCGCATACATTTTGGGAAGAAGCTTGATTTGCCAACAATGACACCGAAAAATCTGTCTTATACCATACAAATTTACAGTAATAGATCGGCAATATCTCTAGCGTTAGATGTTATTGCTTGTATTATCTCTTTTTTGACTCGATCGAATTAGTCGGTCTCTATTAATATATAGTTTGCTGCATGGATGCTTTAATATTACCTGTATTTTTAACGTGGCTATCTTGACTCGATAGCTTATTGGAAAAAGCTCTGACGTTTGAAGTGATTAGTCCCTGGTTCGAGTCTCGGTGGGGACAACATCACTCACTGGGAGGCAGGTACACTCAGCTGATGACTCTCGAATAAGACGAAACACGCGTTCTAGATTCCACTACTAGGCACTGTATATTATTAATATTTATAGTTTTGTGTCAAAACTTTGTGAATAAATAGAGCAGTCAAACTTCTGGAAACATACAGATTTAAAGTTATCAAAAGTTAAGGTCAGTTAAATGAGTTTACACAAGTATCAGTAGGATAGACCATAGGACAAGTGTGTAGTGGTTTGTTTCGCTAGATTTAATAACGGTAAGGGAGAAAGCATACGATTTATATGAAGAATTAAAAATAGTAATACTAACAGTTTTGCAGTTAATATGCATCACAGACTGATATCAAGCTTAGAACAATTGAAAACTTGGGAACACTGGACAGTTGTTCTGTCCTAGTGCAGGAACTCCTAGTGGTGAACACTCACGACCCCTCCGAGGATTGAACTCTAGGACTTCAGGCTTCGTGTGCAGTACGTTACCACTGAGTTGTTCGAAAGTAGGAGGAAATAGTTTTGTCGGTAAATATCTCATGAGTTTGTGTTTAGTTATGGTTTGAAAACTCTTAGACTCTGCATTTTTAACTAGTTAGATCCAGCCATTTTTTATCGGTTTTTCAAAAACTAAATTGAATAAATAATGGTCACCCTGTATTATGAAACCTCATATCATAAGCTTGGAAAGTATTTCATTGGCAAAAGTTACAATAAAGAGTGATATCAGTTATAACTCAAATCAAGCTACGCGCTAATCGGACGTCATAGTAACTGTAAACTCATTTCTTGCACCATAAATCTTTTTGAAATCATCCTTTGAGCACCTTTTTTTAAATGGTAAGACTAGCTGATGACAGAATTCAGTATCTATGGCTAGTCCTGTGGGGGGGGGGGGTTGAGGTCTCAACGAACTTGATCCATGATCAAAGTTATATGTAGGTTCACAAGCCAAGAAGTTCTGTCAGCTGATAGAGCCAATGAGATATTTATGACAAACCACTACTTACTTTTATTTTTGGTAATGTTTAGAGTAATACTGGGTAATTACCAAGCTGAAGTTAAGCAGCATCAATCCAAACCGCACTTGATTGGAATCAAAATATTTTTACTGAGACGTCTTCGGAATAATTTTTATAGATGTTAATGAAAATTCTAGCGATTTTTCAAGTTGGTATTCATCATGGACTGACATGAGTCTCTCTAACTCCTCACAAACCCCTAAATTCAACTGAACTAGTGATCATTGGTGACTAAACTCGATAGGTGATTCCTGAAGTTCCAATGAAAGTCGTGACCAGTGGGAAAACTTGGTGACTTTGAGAACAAATACTCAACGATGACATTTGGGTGGTGATCGCACTACTGTGTGAACTGACAGAAGTTGGAAATATGGACCATTGGATTCTGACCCAGTAGCTCAGTGGTAACTTGCTGGCCACAGAACCGAAAGGTCGTGGGTTTGAACCTTGGCGGGGTGAGGTCATGAGTGCGCACTGATGAGGGGTCCCCCACCAGGACATAACAGCTATCCAGTGCTCCTAGATTTCCAGTATTCCTCCAACTGATGTCAGTCCATGATGAATACCAACTTGAGAAAAAGACTTTTAAATCCCCACAAATCCCTCAAATTCTATTTCGACTGAATTGCAATCTTATATTAGTGTAGAGACCAAGAAGAAGATCTAATTGGAAAGGACTATATTTCTTCACCCAACCCACTCTTTTTCTAAATGTCTAAATGGGAATATTTAAGCACTAATTGACAGACCTTGAACTTTTTATCAGACTGAAAAGATCTGTAGTAATGAACTGTGTAGTACTTTCTATAAGCTCACAATAAAGTACATTTATAATGTAAGTTTTCAAGTGTAATTGGTTAAATATTTAAACGACGGTCTTATTATTAATTGTATCAAGCTTTCCTGTTTGCATAAATTTTACTTCATCATTGAAACCATAGAAGATTTCCGTCTTCGACCGACTAAAGAGTGACTTTGAGGCGAACAATCGCCTTGAAAATCCCTGTGCTGTCGTTCTGGCGAGCTTTGCAGTATTGAAAGGGTGTTTGTGGTTATAGATGAGCTTTTGCAGGATTTCGATCATAATAGAAGCGAAAAGAATTAATTCTCATGGAAATATCTATCACTTTCTCTTACTTCAGGGAGGCTTTTCATGTGCTTTCTTCTCTCAGAAAGTTATGGATAAGAAATGAACGCTGAACTGTGTTACAGTATAACGTATCATATTTCCAAACCAAATTTCAAAATTTATTCTAGCTACTTAAACCCAATAACTTAACTTCAAATAAGTTTGCAGTATGCATCAACTAACAAAGGTTTTTAATCTTGAAATCTATAGGTCAGTACTTTTGTTCTGACTAATCTTAATTTGTGAATTCTTTTACAGGGGTTCATGCAAATAGCATAAAGTTAGCGTACAGCGTTTTTATGGCTTATTTAGGTCTATGTCACAGCTAATACGGATAAATATCATGAAGTAAGACATGAATATTTATCACATGTAGTTCCCGAACCAAGATAAGCTTTTGAACATCGTCTAACAAATTTATGCACTGTAATTTCATTAAAAATCGCATAAAGACTACTATTTCCTTATTGGTGCTTCCAAGGTCACTTGATGGTTGCTCAAGGATGGCAAAATTCTATGCTCCAGTCATCGAAATCAAAATAAACTCAGCAACGTTGCTCACATTCGTACACTGGGCAGTGAGCCCCAATTATTGTGTGAAAATTAATGATATCATTTGGTTGCCCAAAACTCTATAGGTGGAGCGGTGTTTGAACTGGTGGCCCATTGGTCAAAAGTCATCTGCCTAGATCAGTGAACTGTATGGAATCAAGGCAGCTGATAATGAATGCAAGCATCTATGATGAATAAAAGCCTGACTATTGATAGCTGAATGTGTCACCTGCTAATAAAATGTTTTCATAATCTTATTCTAAATTAGCGTTATTTCATGATTGTTGTTATACTGGATGATGTTTAGTTGGTTTTATAGTTGCTCAACACCCTATTTATATTACTGTAGGGTAATTTTCGCTTTTGATCAACGGTGAAACACATAAAAAGAAAATGTTTACTCTATTTATGACTCATCTACTGAATGCATCTGTTTTCAGATACATTACTTTTCCAACTGAGACCAAATTTTAGCGCCCAAGGCTTCAAAGCTTATAATGTTATCAACTAGGATACCGAGTTAGGACCACCACGTCCTATTCAACTGTTGTCTGTCATCATCATTATTATTACCGCAAAAATTTGAACATAAGTGACAAATTTATTGATATACTTGTAATTCTCCATTGTTTTGTTGGATCGAATTGTTCGACCTCGATTGGCATATAGGCTCCTACGCGGATGCTTCAATATTGCCTGAATGGGAATTATAGTAATTTGTTTTGTTGTGACCAGCAGAGGGTCCGTGACGTGAGTCTCTTCTTATTTGGGACTCTTTATAGATGGATGTACCTGCACCTCAGTGAGTGATGTTGTCTGCAATGAGACTCGAACCTCGTACCTATCGCTTCAAACACCAAGGCGTTATCCACTATGCCACGTAGACACAACAGTCACTTCTTGTCACTGGGGATAACATCACTCACTGGGGTGCAGATACATCCAGCTGACGAGTCCCAAATAGGACGAAATGCATGTCCTGAATCCCTTTACTAGCCTTAACTAAACAAACAACTTACATATATTGTTAAAATGAATAGTGTACACTAGTATCAATGAACTTTTACAGAGAAGTGATATATGAACATAAATTATCCCATTCACAATTATACAACTAATAGTAAAATAGTCAATAGACAGTAATTATACAATTTGTTTACAAGAAAAAAACTCCCTTAACTCAATAATAAAATAGCTTAAAAGTTATACTCTTGGAAACAATAATAATACCAGGGTGAAATATGTATGCATAATGCGAGTAGATGTAGAAGAACTACTGAATAAATTATCAGAAAACTTATTTACTTTGTCACCATAGTACTTGATCATGTTTAGATCTCAGATAAGACTATAAAACACATTTTAGAAAACAATTATTCAGTTACTCTGATGATTAAATAGATAGATGAAAGAAAGTCAAAGACATTAGGAGAGAGGCGTGTGTGTGTATGCGTGAGTGTAATGAAAGAGGTATTACCCAGTGAGCACAAGTCAGCTGATGCCTCATAGTAGTCACCCAATTATCTGGTATTATTGAGATCATTGAAAGGTTATATTTTAGACTTATATCTGATTACCATTTTTACATACATCTTCAATTGTTTTTTATC